CATCCATCCATCCATCCATCCATCCATCCATCCACCCACCCATCTTCTTTAGTGCTCATGAGTACAGAGGCCAGTTAGGTGTTCAAGGATGAGACCAGGCTAAGAGTAGATGGAGTGGGCCACAGGCAATGATCATATGTGAGTACACATGCACATGTATGTGCTACCAGGGTCTGAGAGACAGAGAAAGCTGAAACAGAGAGACCCACTAGCCAATGAAATCAAGGACAGGCACCGTGTCCACCTTTTCTCCAGATGTAGCTCCATGGGACAGAGCTAGGGAGGAAGGATGCTCCATCCTCAGGTTCTAAAGTTCTGGAGGGCAGGTAGGTGAGAGAATTCTCAGACTCCCTGGGGCAGCTTCGCATAGTCACACTTAGGTATGTATGCACGCTGTCACCCCTGACCATTAGTCATATGATGGTGTTGTCACCAACGTGGGCAGGTGCACCGAGGCTACCTTCTCCTGGACAGTCACCCAACACAGGCACAGCAAGAACACAGCCGTGCCAGTCAACGCCAAGGTGGATGCTGTCTCAGTCGCACAAGCATGTGTTGAACAAGGACCAGGCAGACACATAGGCTATGCGCCCACAATGATACGCCCAGTGCACTGCCACACACAGGTGGCAACGCAAGCACACAAATGCTCTGCAGACGTGAGCGCAACGACACCCACAGACACACTCTTCACCGCCTAGTGCCGTTGCCAGGGAGTCCCTTTTGATGCGCACGGACCTGATAGAGGGGGTCCGAGGCGGTAAATCTAAGAGCACACAGTCTCATCTTTCTCCCAAGGAGCATCTGGTGGGTTTGAACTACTGATCTTGTAGTTAGCGATCTAATGCTTACGGGAAAGCGCCATCGGGGCTCCTTATCCGGTCCACGGCCGCATGCGCGCACACCAGCGCCCCTACCTTGAGCAGCTTGGAGAAGGTCTCATAGATGAAGATGAGGGAGATGAGGAAGGAGAAGATCTCCTGGGTGTAGCGAGAGATGAATCGGACCAGGAAGCTGCCCTCGAAGGCCACCACCAGTACCACCAGCAGGACGAGCCAGAAGCCGATCCACACGCGGCCCACGATGTACTCCAGGCCGTTGCTTTCACAGAACTGCGGGGCGGGCAGAGGCGCGGGAGTCAGGCGGGAGTCAGGCGGGAGGGCGGGCGGGCGGGCTGGCTCAGGGGTCAGCTGCCGGGGCAGAGCGGGCAGGAAGCGGATACCGAGTAGAAGGCTTCCTCGAACACGAGCAGGGGTCCCGAGAAGCCAACGATGAGCAGGGGCTGAGCCCCGAGCAGGGCGAAGAGGATGCCCTGCACGGCCGTGGCGATGAGCAGCTCCGACACGCCCATCTGGTTCTGGGTCTTTTCTCCTGTGGGCAGAGGTCAGGTGACGTCAGGACCATGTTCAGAGTTCAGAACCTCATCAGCAAGTCACGAATGTGGCCGATGTGGGGGATACAGAGGGTCAGATGGGGTCAGAAGTCAGGGCTGTGGGGGGTGGGGCGCACGAGGAGACACTGACCCAGGAGGCCACCGAAAGTGATGGCGGGTGACAGGGCGGCAAAGTAGATGAAAATGACGGCAGCCAGGACCTGGGGGCTGAGTGCATCAGTGATATCGCTCAGGTACTTGGGGTAGCGGCGTCGCACATCCCGAACCAGTCCCCCGAAGAGGTAGCCTGTCCGCTTTAGAGGGTCGTCTTGGCCACCAGGCCCTCCTTCACCCCCAGTTAGGTCTGTGGGGGAGCAGAAATGTGGTCGGAGGGGGTGATGGAGAGGTGGTGTATATGATGGGCAGGGGTGGCCAAGGAGGCTGGGAGGGGTGAGATTGGGGAGAGATAGTACGGGGCTGCTTGATGAGAAGTGGGGGGAATCCGAGGATTTTAGGGGACTCAGCAAGCCCCAGGCCGGGCAGGGCACATACCTAAGCCCTTATAGAACTTGGGGTCTGGCTTAGTGGGGCTGGGCAGGTAACGTCTTCGCAGCAGCTCCTTCTGCACTGGTACCAGGCTGAGCAGGGCCTTCTCAGAGGGGGCATCCGTGGGCGGCAGCACCAGGCTGCAGTCCAGAAACCCTTCCAGGGAGTGAACCAACTCCCCCCGGCTCTGGGCCAGGTAAGCATCTGTGCGGAACACCTGCAGGCAGGGGAGAGGGCAGGGCTGCCCAGGGGTCCATGGCCTTGGGGGGGGGGGGCAGAACCCTCCCACTCAGCAGGCTTCTTCAGGTGGTGGGATGCTCTTCCTGTCCCCTCTAACTCCTCATTCCCACTAGACAGAGCTTCAGGGGACACACAGGGCCTCCTGTGCGGACAGGAGCAGGAGGGGACATAAACCAGATGGGTGGGGCAAGGCCAACCGAGTGGGTCCGGCCACAGTAAACCAGAGGAAAGTAGATCTGGCTGGGCTGCACCACGTCATGGCTGCCACTGGCCCTGGCCAGGTGGGACAGAAGCAGCTAAAGCCACTCAGCCCCGTGGAACCCAGAGAGGGAGCCCACCCCCCCTGCCCTCCCACCCCCCACCCTCCACTGGGCTCTCCTCACCTTCTCTGACAGGAGGGTGGCAGCAGCTCGGCCTAGCTGGGTGTAGTCTGTGTGGGGACTCTCTGGGCCCAGCAGCACGAGGAGGAAGCGTACAGGCACGGGCAGCTTGATGGCGTCCAGCTCCACCGCCTCCTGCAGCCGCACAAAGCCCAGCACCGGCTGCTCTAGGAAGGCGGCTTGGCCTGCCGGAGGGACGGGAGATCAGGCCAGGCCCTGAGTGCCCTGTGGGATGGGGCTGCAGGGTCCCAGCTGGGGGAGAGGCCAGCTGGGCCAGGTCAAAGGTGGAAGCATTGAGTGGGGGTCAGGGGAGGTCAGAGTGTAGGTTGGGGTCACTTACCCACGAGCACCAGGGTGGCCTCTGAATCCGGAGGGATCTTTTCCAGAATTCCGGATGAGGAGCGCCCTTCTGTGCCCTCCTCACCCTGTTGGAAGGAGAAAGGTGAGGGGGCCGGGGCTCAGGCCCTTCCTCCCCTGTCCATTCTCACATTCTGAGTTGCCCAGCTCTTCCCACGCACACCTGGCGCAGCCTCACCTGCTCACAGAAGAGCTGGATCTCCAGTGAGGGGGTTTGGGGGAGCAGGGGCTGCGAGGGTTCCCCAGAGTGTGTCAGAACCGCGGGCTTCATACTCCCCAGAGCCTCCACATCTCCAGCATGACTGCAGGAAATAACACCAGGGGACTGAGCAAGCTGTCCAGGCTGGGCTGTGGAGTTTTGTGGGCAGAAATGATCAAGGATAGACACCAAGTGGAACTTCCCAGGGACCAGACCAGGGAGACCCCGGGGCAGGAGAATCAGAGCAGCTCTGATGGGGCCAGAAGACCAGGTAAAGCAAAAGAAGTTTGTGGGACTGATCCCTGGGGACCAGAGACCTGGGGGGTAGGGGGGTGGGGCTCAGGTTCTCACACTCCTGTCCCCAATTCTGAGCATAGAGACATGGTCACCTCTTGAGAGGGGTGAGGGGCTTTGGCGGCATAGTGGGTTATACACTGAGCTGCTAACCACAAGGTCAGTAGTTCAAACCCACCGGCCACTCTGAGAGACAAGAATGAGGCTTCCTACTCTGGTAAAGACTGAACATCTCAGAAACCCATGGGGCAGTTCAACTCTGTCTTATAGGGTCAGTCCCAGTTGGAGTCCACGCCAAGGCCATGAGTTTTGAGTATTGAGGTGAGAAGGTGAGAACCTTAGTGGGAATAGAGTGGGCTCCTGCCCGGTGGGAGAGGAGTCCCCTGAAGCCCCCAGGGAGACTCAGGCTGGTAAGCAAGGGAAGGTGGGCCCCGAGGGAGCCCCCTGGTGACAAGGTACCTGTGCTTGAGCAGCAGGGCCCGAAGCAGTTCCTCTCGGTGCTGCGGCCGGATCTGCTCCTCGTAGATCAGCCTGTCCAGCAGCTGGTTGGCCACACCGGCCAGTGAGGACTCCTGCAGATCCAGGAGGACAGTGCCTGCAGGCAGGAGAGGATGAACCAGGTGTGGCCCCTGGGCCCTCCTTCACCCCCAGGCCTCAGGGGCAGGGCCACAGTGGGGTCCAGGGGCTCACCCCTGGCAAAGGTTCTCTGCAGTTCCAGAAGGCTCCAGAAGGTGAGGTACGGCAGGTGTGGGTGGCCCCAGGCTCCATCCTTCCCCACATTCTCCTCCAGCCGCACCCAGCGTGCTGCCTCCATCCACTGCAGTTCTTGGTTCTTCTCATCCATCACCAGCTCCTGCAGCTCCACATAGACCTGCGGCCCCATGGGCCAGGGTGAGCCCACCAGTCCCACACCACAGTAGACACCCAGGCCCTGAACGCAGCAGACTCTGGAGAGATGCTTGTGGGACTCTGAGGGCTTAGGGGCAGTCTCTGCAGGGCTGCTCAGGAGCTGGGGCTGGCCTGGTCATGCTGGGTACACTGAGACGCTGAGGGAGCTGTCTGAGGGTCTAGGTGGGGCACTTTGGAAAGCAGCTCACACCTCGGGTTCTGTCCCCCAATGACCCCAAACCAGAGGTAGCTGGAGAACTGGACCAGGAGTGCTGGCAAAGGGGACGAGAGGGAAGGTGGGTCCAGCTGACTCTGGCACAGGGGCTTTGGAGTCACTGGCTCAGTCTCAGTGGGTGTGTGGCTCAGTTTCCCCGGTCGGCCGAAGAGCCAATGCCCTCAGCAGTTAGAGCAGGGCCCCGGGGAGGGGGCGGGGCACATGCTGGGCAGAGGGGAGCGGTATTAATGCTATGCTTTGCCCATGAGATAGCCCAGCCCAGGCCAGGGGACTCACAGCCTGGACCGCCAGGAGCCAACTTCTCTCTGGCTTGGGACCCAAGTCTGCCCCCTACGTTTGTGTGTGTGTGTGTGTGTGTGTGTGTGTGTGTGTGTTCTTCCCTTCTACCTGTTTCCACGGACTCTTTCTCCTTTTTTGCGTGTCCCTGCCCTGAGCTTGCCTGCCCCTGGCAGAACGGTAGCTCCCAAGGGTGGCATGGGGAAGGGGATGGGCAGGCCCAGCTCCTCACCTCGTGGGTTCCTGGGGGCGATGTGGTGTGGTAGTCTGTGGCTGTTGGCTCGGTGAGGTGCACTGAAAAGGCAGGCCAGAGACTGTTTTTCCCAAAACCTCAGGGTCCCGAAAGGCCTCCACAGCACCCACCGTGAGGCTCAGAGACCCAGGTATGGATGGTATCCCAGGCCTTCTCTGGGCCCTGGGTTGGGGCCCTGCCTGTTCTGGGCCCTGGGAGGCCCCGTTGCTTCCCCTCTGAGCCTCATACAAGACCTCGGACAGGCCCCTCCCCAGCAAGAGTGGAACTCAAGGTCTGTGAGTCCTCGCTGCCATGTTCAGGACGACCCTGGGGTCGCCGTCCTCTCTGCCACCCTCCACAGCCTGATTCCCTTCCGTCTTCCCACCTGCCTCAACGGTCCCGCCAGCCCAGCCCTGCCTCTGCTGAGCCCTGGAATCCGGGATGCCCCAGCCCTTATATCGCCCCCCAGCACAGGCACCCCATTCCCCAAAGGGGCCGGGTGTCTTCCACGCCAACTGCCTGCGCTTAAGTCCTGTTGACTGTAAACAGGGACCTTCCTTGCGTTCTTTACTCGAGACCTTGGGCAGGCCAAGGAGGGTGGCATATCTCTGCCTTGGGGGTCTCCACAGCCTCCCATTTCTTAAGACCTCTGGTCCCCCACCCCCACCAAGCAACACCCCCCAAACAGGCCCAGAGCCTGGCCTAGAAGTCGGCACTGGATGGGCACACAGGTGGCATGTGACCCCACGCCCTTGTGTCAGACAGGCCCCGCTGCCCTCTCCCCCATTAAGGGGCACGGAGACGGGTGACTGGCCCTGCTCCCCCTCCCTGTCCCCAGTCACCTGTGATCATTTAAAACAAAACTCTGTTTATCCTTCAATCATGGAGGATTGTGGGGGAATTGGCCCTGGGGTTGTGGGGTGGAGAAGGGACTAGGTCACAGTTCTTGACCTGCAGAGACCAGGTGGGTCAGTGGTTGTGCGAGGGGCTGCTCTCGTTTGCGTCTCATCTTTGTCTGGCAGTTCGAAACCACCAGCTGATCCTTGGGAGAAAGATGAGGCTTTCTACTCCTGGAACCAGTTAAAAACAAACAAACTTACTGCCATTGACTCATTGCTGAATCGTGGCAACCCCCTTGTGGGGTTCCAAGACTGTGACTGTTTATGAGAGTAGAAAGGCCAGTCTTTCTCCTGTGGAGCTACGGGTAGATTCGAACTGCCCACCAGGCAGCTCTCAGTCCATGCCCCCAGGAAAGAGATAGCGTCTCAGAAGCCACCGGGCCGTTCTGCCCTGTGCTGTGGGGCCGTCAGGCCCTAATGGCCCCGTGGCAGTGAGTGTGGCCTGCATTGTGTCCAAGACTCAGCAGTCCACCCCCGGCTGACAGAGGGGCGCGGGGCTCACCTGCTGGCTCCTCTATCTGGGGTTCGATGATTTCTGGGTCTTCATACGCCTCTTCCACCATTATCTCCTCCAGCACCTCCTCATAGTCCTGCGGGGAACGGCTGTCATGGCTCACCTGGGAGGCCCCTCCCCCACTTCCAGGAAGGCTAGACCCACTGGGTGCCGAAAGACCCACCTGCAGATCCCCCATGGTGCGGTCCTGAGTGTCCAGTTGTCAGCCGCAACTCAAGTCCCCAGCATAACCCGCCCGGCGGGTCCCTGCAGGGAGAGGCACAGAGGCTGAGACAGGAGGCATCCTGGGGTCTACTCAGCCTACCCTCGAGGGGCTGGGCATTGATGGGGTCCAAGAAAGGCAGTGAGTGGAGATGGAAGGCGGGAGCGGGGCTGGTGGTGTGAAGGCCCGGGCTGGGTGGGCTAGGAGAGGACAGGCTGTGAAGCTTGGGGACTGGCATCACCCTGAATGCCCTGGGGAGGGTGGGAGGGGGGTCCTTCCAATGCACATCCTGCTTTGCCTACCAGTCCTTGATGACTCTGTTCATGCCCATCCTCAGGACTCAGCCAGCTGTAGGGGCATGATCTGTCCCCCAGTTCAGCCACCCTAGTTCCCGTGAGGCTGTCTAAAACACACCCCATCCCCCACTAGATGGCTGCTTCAGGTTGGATACTGGCTGCAGCACCCTTGGAATTTGGGGAGGGGGGATGTGCACAGTGTCCCTGGAGTATGTCGAGGGAGCAGCGCATTGAAACATCCTGATGTGGCCTCGCTTCCTCCCACCCAACCCCATGGAGCCCCATTCCCCTTGCGCTCTCTCCGCCCCTCCCATGAGTCACCACACCTTTCCCTGCCCCAGGGCCTTTGCACATGCCGCTATCTCGCCTCCGCCTGCATGTGCCACCCCCACGCCTCTCAGTCCCACTCACATCACAGCCGGAACGTCCTCTCTTCAGAGAGGGTCTCCCCGATGACCCTCTAGTTCACTAACCCCACCCGCCGTTTTCCTGGCTTCTGGAATGATCTGGGCCAACATCATCTGAGCTGCCTCTAGAGGAGAAGCCGAGACGTGGACCAGGACCTCACTGCTTCCAGCAGAGTGGTTGCTACATGCTAGGTGCTGGTTAAGTGTTTATTTGCTGAGTGAAATTAAGACTGGCTCCTCATTGCAGGTTTGGGGCTCTACAACTGGTGGGGGGGGGGGCAGGAGACTCAGTTCCCTCAGGTGCTATGCCACCCCATGCCTGTCATCCTGCTGCACGCTGGAAGCTGAGATGAACAAGACACCGTCCCTCCTCTCAAGAAGCTCCTAGACAAGCGCGTGCCCAAGACAGTCCCCCAAACAAGCTCAGGCTCTGAGGCCAAGGGTCTGCACGGCAGGAGGGACAGCAGGCTTCTTGGGCAGTGGGGAGGGAGTGTCCCTGGAGGAGGTGCCGCTGGCTGTGTCTAGGAGCACAGGTGGGACTTGATGGGGGCAGGACAGCCCAGGTGGGCGAAATGGCCCAGCAGTGGCGCTGAGGACGCTGCTGGGCCTGCCCGGTGAGACGTCCTGTACGGGAGGAGGGCGGGACTCTGCAGGAAGGGCTATAACGGAGAACTTCTTTGTGAGAATGGGTGGTCCTAGAGACCTTAGAGGTAGGAGAAGGCTCGATTGAGCCCCACCCAACTGAGCAAAGGGAGAGATCCTTGCCTTGAGGTGATGAGGGGCAGTGAGCACTACGGGGGGTGGGGGTGGGGGACTCTCAAAACTGGAAGACAGGCATGTCCCTTGAGGATTCTGGTCATGTCTCCTATTTTGCCTTTCTCCTCCAATCTCTCCTCCTTATTCCCTGCTCCCCGAAGCTCCCCTCCCTTCCTCTTCTCCCCTCTCTCTCTCCCCTGCCCCATTGGCTAGAACTCACTGTGTGTGTGTGTGTGTGGGGGGGTTGTTCCTCTGTCTGAATGCCCCTCACCCCCCTCAGGACCTCTCAGGTCCCAGCTCACTCTCCCTCCAGGGCCTCTGTCCTTCAGATGCCCGAGGTGTCTAAGCCTTAGGTGCTAGAAGTCCCACCCCTGGGGGGGCGGGGGCAGGGATGGTGCTCTCAGTTTTCCCATGGGACAGGTGGGTTGGTCAGCACGGGAGAAGCCAGAGACCCAGGCTGCTTCTCCACCTCTGATTGGCTAAGTGGCCTTGGTGGCTCTTAGCCTCTCTTGAGGTTTCAGTCAGCCCATCTGTGCAATGGGAGGGTCACCCCTCGCCTTTCTGGGACATACGTGGTAGAGCAGAGGGCAGAACGGAGGTGCCTGGAGGCTTCCGGGTCTTTGGGAGGCATCCCCATGACTCAGATGGTTGCCCGGCCCAGTGGAGGCCTTGTTCTGTGGGGCACTGATAAGAGCTTAGTCCCCAGAGGCTGCCCCAGTGCTGGGTGCTGGAAGTGTGCCAAACACCTGGCCAGCCAGCTGGCCAGCCGGAGGAAGGTCCGATAAGGGTGAGAGGGGCATCTGGGGCTGTGAAGTTGGGAGACCACACAGCTGGGAAGAGGCTGGAGGGGTGTGCCAGATGACGGGGAGGAGGGCGCCCTTTATGTAGCCACCCCCGTAGCAGAGCAAGAACTGGACTGCCTTACCTTTGACAGCCCCCAAGCCCTCTGGGGGTCGCCCATTGTGCAGGTGAGAAAGCTGAGGTTCAGAGAAGTTTGCCAGCTTCAGTCCCCTAGTAGGTGAGTGTCAGAAATAGAGTGGAACCCTGACCTTCCCGACTCTAACCACTAGGCTGAGCTGCCTCCCAGAAAAGGACACCGCTGTCCCTAGGAGAGCTGGTGTGGTGTGCCTGGTGAAGGGCAATGCTAAAGCCAGCCTGCCTAGATTCAAATCCCAGCCCTGCCACTTAATAACTGTGTGACGTTGGGCAGGTGGCTTAGCTTCTCTGTGCCTCAGCTCTCTCTGTAACATGGGGGTAAAAATGGTGGTTCCTAACACATTGACTGGGGAGTCCTGGTGGTATAGTGCTTACACGATGGGCTGCTTATACCACAAGGTCAGCAGTTCAAAACCACCAGCCGCTCCTCGGAAGAAAGACAGGCTTTCTACTCCTGTAAAGAGTTACAATCTTGGAAACTCACAGGAAGAACTCTACCCTGTCCTACAGGGTGGCTATGAGTCAGCATGGTCTCGTTGTGAGACCTCACAGACCAGGAGCCTTAGTGCTAGCCGCAAGATAGCATGTTCAGACCCCTCAGCTGCTCCTTGAGACAAAGATGTGGAGGCTCTCCACTCCGAGTAGAAACATGGACAGCCTCAGAAACCCACTGGGCAGTTCTACCTTGTCCTATCAGGTGGCTCTGAGTCACATCCACCGGATGGCATAGGTTTGGTGGGTGGGTTCTGGAGTTGTCGTAAGCAGTCGCTAGCTCCCTTTGTTAGCCCGGCCCTCCTGCTACTGTCCTTACTGCAGCTGGGCGTCTAAGTCGGACATCCTCTTTGCTCCTCGCCTCCTTCGCTCCCCAGGGATTTGGCTTGAGCTCAGTGCTCCGAGCACCTCAGGCTGTAGGGGACTCCTCCTTTCCCTCCAATCCCTCCCAGGATGCAACCTGTGTCAGCTTCCCCTAGGAGATGCTCCAGGAGAGGCCCAAGTGGGGTCTTGCCCCCTGGGCAAGGGAGGGCTGGGTGCCTGACACCTGAGTCTGGGACCTGAGAAGCTGAACTGATAAAAAGAAGCCAGACAAGGACCCCCAACAGGAGAGGGACCAAATATGTTCCCCACCCCTCCATACACACACACACACACACACACACACACACCAGCTACACACACCTGTGCCAAGGAGCCAGCCTCTCACTCCTGCCACTTGCCACCTTGCTCTAGGAGGCTGCAGGTGTCAATGGGCCTGAGCCCTGGGGGCAGCAACAGCCTGGTGACATTCTCATGCCACCCCTGGAGGCTGGTGGGCACAGATTCACCTTGAACACCTGCGCAGCGCCTCAGGGCAGGAGTCCCAGACCTCCCAGCCCCGCCCCCCCCTGCCTGGCCCACCTGTTCACGATCCTCCTCAGGTGGAGTCTCAGGGTCCCTCGGTGGCAAACTCCTGCAGCCAGCAGTGCCCTCTGAGACCAGCTGAGCTCCCGCCTGCTCTAACAGCGCCAGGGCCTGGTTCTCGCGCCCCCGGGCAGCTCACAAACCCCTGACTCATGCCCCCGCCTCCTAATCTGCCTACCCCATGGGTCCCGGGAGCCCCGACGCTCCCCCCACCACCCCCCTGTCCCGCTCCTGCTGGGTGCCTGGTAAATAGAGTTATCGCTCACCCACATCTGGACAGCTGTGAGGCTGACCCACCCCACCCACCCGCACCCCCAGGCCTCTGTGGCCCTGCTGGTCCAGAGCTTCTACAGGGTCTCCCTTCATAGATGGAGGTTCAATAGCCAGGTGCTCGGAGCTCCAGCCTTGTTGGTGGGGTATGCACCCGTCTGCCCCGTCCATCCTCCCACCTGGCCCCCTGCTTCTCTCTGGGGATCTCCCCAGGTCCTCCTCAGCCTCCTCGCCCCACCCTAGGTACCCTCACAGCCTCGCTGTCTGTCCCCAGGACCCTTGCTGGCTCTGAAGAGCTGGCCCCTGGGCGCTAAGACGCTGACATTCAGTCAACCTGAAACAATGTCAGGGTAACAAAAACAACCATCCTCACTCGGGGCCCTGGTTCACAAAGCTCCAATGTCTGGGCACACTGGCTCCTTGTCGGCTGCCCGGCCCAGGCCCCAGGCCCCAGGCCGGAGCAGCTGCATTCTTGCCCCTGCCCTGCCCACGATGCCCCTCCCCACACCTCCCTCCAGCAGGGCAGCAGCTCCGCTCCCGGGGCTGGCTGGGACCTGGCCACCTCTTCCTGGGCTCTGGTTGCGAAGCAGACTGTCTTCCAGAGGAGTCCAGGTGGACTAGAGTAAAGAGGCTTTCCATCCACGACAAGAGGTGTTGCCCACACTGTCTGGGCCTAGCATTGAGAAGCAGGCCCAGTCTCGCTCCTACAGGGACTACTGGGGACCCTGGTCAGTCGTTGCCCCATGTGCCCCCGTGAGAGTGCTGGGATTGGGTCTGCTGACTTGGGGGCTCCCAGGTTCAGGCTCCGAACCATGTAAACCCGCAGACCAGGACAGGGAGCTGGGCCGAGCCAGCCACTCCACCACCATTCTCGGGGGCCCCAGGCCAGCCGGTCCTGAGCTGAGTCTTGAGGGAGACAAGTGGGCTGAGCCAGCACCCCTGCTTATAGACGGCTTGCTCCCGGCTTGGCCTTACAACCACCCCGCCCTCCCTCTCCCAGCCCATTTTCTGTGGGAGGAAACCGAGGAGGCCAGAGGCAGAGCCGCTTCCCGGGGAAGGGCTTGACCACGTGGACCAGGTGCCTGCAGCACGGAGGGTCCTGGGCCAAAGTGCTTAAACCTAACTGGGCTTTCTGAGGACACCATTGTTCTTTGTCCTCTTGGGAGCCCTGGGGAAGTTAAGGCCTTGAGAACGGAGCAGGAATCGGAAGGCAGAGCCGAGCCCTCTCTGGCCACTCTGAGCTTCAAGCTTCCCGGGGCCGGCCCCTTGCAGCCGCTCCGGGCTTGGTGCGCCTGTCTCAAACCCTGGGCCGGGACTGAGCTCACTTCCTTGGACCCTGACAACCACATGGAGTCCCTGTCTGCCCAGGGGGCTCAGCCTCTTTGTCTATCTTCTTGCCCCCCAAGTGGCAGCTGAATGCCCCTCCTGGGGCCCAGAGGACTGACAGCCCACAGGGGAAATCTGTCAGGACAGACAGGAACATCTGCTGTAGGAGGGACCTCTGCCCAGCTTTGGGGTGTTCTGCTCAGACTCCTGGTGGTCCCCGCCAGGGCCTTCTCCGCTCTTAGTGTGCCGGGCTGTTCCCAGCCCTCTCCCTGCGTTGTTAACTCACTTAACCTGCACCCACCAAGGAGGGTCCCATTCTCAGCTGAGGAAGGGAGCACAGAGTGGTCAAGTGACTTCCGCAGGGCTGCACAGCCCTGCTCTGCTCTGGAGTGACAGCACAGGGAACTGGGTCATGCTCTGATCCATCAGGGACCACAGCGGCCTGGCAGACCCCAAGACCATCCGGATGGGCAAAGTCTCTGCCATTTCTCCAGGCGCTCACTCATTCACTGATCCGGCGCATGGACACCGTCCCCGTGCGGGCACCAACCCTGGCAGCCGGCAGCCACCCAGGCAGCAGCTCAGCAGATTGATGTGTGTGTGTGTGTGTGTGTGGGACGACTTTCTGCTCCCAACACACATCTTCTGTCCTCTGGCTGTCCTGGCTGCATGGGACAGTTCCCTGAGTCAGTGCAACATCCCACACGTATTAAAACTTGTCCAGGAAGAAGGGATGATTTCCTCACTCATGACAACATTCAAATGTGGACCTGGATTGGCTCCGTTCAACTGGTGGTCCCCAGACACCAGGCTCTAGGCTGGGGGTTCTGGAAACACCAAGGAGAGGCATGCTGCCCTCGGGCCATGCTCCTGGGCTAGAGGACTGGGACCAGAACTCGTGACCTTTGGGAGTTGGGCAGGGGACCAGATGCCGTAGGACGGCATCCAGATGGGCCTTCTGGGAAGGGCACTGTTGCTCTCCTTAGAGCCCCTCCCACCGGCCTATTTCTGGGAAAGGGGGGAGCCTACTGGAGCCCCTTCCCAAGGTCATGGGTGTCCCTGCCCGAGGGTGTGGGCGCCTAAGCCACATGTCAGCAAGAACTCTGTGAGTGGCCATGTGACCGGCCCACCTGCTTCGATGTCCGACCACATGTCCAGATGAAGACGCTATCGGCAGGGAGAGGTGCCGTGTCCCCCAAAGGACAAGCCTTTCTCACTCCAGCCGGCCAAGGACGGAGGGATGGTGAGAACCGTTTTCCCGCTCTTAGCCTGAAGGAGTGCTGGCTGGAAAGCTGGGGCCGGGGCGAAGGGTGGCTGAGTGGCCTGTTGTTTAAAATGAGCTTGACAACAAGGTCCCCGGGGGGAGCGGGCAGGCCGGTGTATAATCACAGCTGCTCCTGAAGGCCAGTGGGCAGTTCCCATCCTGACTCCCAGGCCCTCCGCAAGGCCTTGCTGGGCAGGGGCAACTGCCCTTGCTCCCCTTTGAGGATGGACGGAAAGGACAAAGGCGGCCATGGGTTGCAGTGGTAGGTACGGTGAGGGGCGCCCAGGTGGCTCAAGGTGACCAGCTGAAGGGACGGGTATTGGCGGAAGCCAGGAGGCTGGCAGAGGGGACCTGGTCTGGCCAGGGTGGCTGCGGCAGGGGCCAGGGACAGTCCCTGATGAACTTCTGACTTTTTGTGCCCTGTGGGTTGGGGACTCAGACCACTGGGATTTTGCACTAAAGGCCAGTGTGTTCCCTGGCAGGGACATTTGGCCCTTAGGGGAATAGCTGGGGCAGGAAAGGGCCTGGCCTGAGCTGCTAACGGCACAGTCTGTGGTTCTAACCCGCCAGTTGCTCAAAGGGAGAAAGATGAGGCTTTCTGTTCCCATAAGGATTGACAGCCTCAGAAATAGACGGGGGCAGTTCTACTCTGTCCTGGGGGGTCTCTGTGATGGGGAGGAGTTTGGGTTTTCCCTTTTTCCCAGTGCTGGGGGAGGAAGTCCATATGCCCTGCATCAGGATTCTTCTCTTTTGGGCTCACATCCAAGCAGAGCTTGTTCTATCCGCGCTGCCTCCTTGTGGTCCTCCTCTGGCCTCCATCTCCCCGCCCCTCTCCTCAGGGCTCTCCATTAGCCCAGAGCCCTCCTCAGGGCTCCGTGCCATGCCGCTGACACACATCGGGCGGAGGCGTCTCCTGGAGAGCCTTCTCTGGCTCTCACTTCCCTGCGGAAACTGCTCCCCAGCTTCGGTGGGTGGGCTTTCGGCCATTCCCATTCCGGTGACTCCTGCCTTCTGCTCACTCTCCTCTTGTCCCCCCGTTGCCCCAAGCCCATCCCTGCCAGCTCTCCCTGCTGGCCTGCCCATATGTCCTTCCCCATCTCTCCACGGCCCACCCTTCCCCTTCTCGTTATTCAGGGCTCTGGCCCAACCTGCCCCCTCACCAAGGGGCCTGTTGTAACCGGCCAGCTGGGGAGACCCCCAGCCTCTCTGCTGTTGTATCAAGGACACTTCACGGTGGGCGGGATGCGAGAGAAAGCCCCACAGCTCAGCGACTTCAGCAAAGTAGCGCGTTTATTTTCTTCTCTGATGTCAAAGTCTGGAGGGAGGCAGTCCTCGCTGGCGTGCTGCTCTCACAGGGTTCAGAACACCGGGGCCCTCTGTCTCCGCAGGTAGTTTCCTCCGCGCTGCTCAGGGTGGCTGCTCTAGCGCCAGCCATCCTCTCTGCTTTGCAGCCAGCAAGAGGAAGAAGGAGTGAAGAAGGACGCGGCTCCTTTTCTGTAAAGAAGGCTCCTAGCGGTTGTTTCTGCTTCCGTCCCTGGGCAGGACTTCGTAACACGGCTGCACCTAGCTTCAGGCAAGCCCGGGAAGTGCAGTCATTAGTCTGGAAAGCCATGTGCTCATAGCATTAGGACCAAAGAGGAGAGCATGATTAGAGGCCACCCCGTGTGGCGGCCTGCGTTCCCTTCCCCGGTTAGCAAGCTCTCTCTCATTCTCTCTTCCCACCAGAGGCCAAGTCCCCTGAGGGCAGGTTCTCGACCAGCCCGGACCACTGCTGAGGCTCTAGTGCCTAACTTGGGGCCTGGTCATGGTGGACTAGGGAATGGTCTCATGGGTGACACAAATGGCTTCTCATCAATAACTGGAATGATCGGAGAGACGGTAATAATTTGAAGAAGACGTTCTTATCCCCGCTTTCCGGACTGGGGAAGTGGGGCTTTCTCCTATCAGCACACCGCAGGCAGAGGACCAAGACTTGAGCCTGCCTCTCCATGGCTCCAGAATTCTTCCCGCCGTGCATGCTGGCTCTCTGAGCGCCCAGCTCCATCCCCACATCAAGCTGTTGTTAGAGCCTGACTGCTGGTAAGTCCCGTGGACAACGGAGCTATAAACGCGGATGGGATCACCAGGCCTTTCTTCCTAGCCCATTTTCCTCTGGAAGCGCCGCTGGAACCTGTTCAGCATCAGCAGCATGCAGGCCTCTCCA